AAAGAAGAAAAACTAATTTCATCTGACGCAATGCTAATGGGCAGACAACCAATAATTAAAAGTATTGTTTTAATACTTGGAACAATATATCTGGAAAACAATTTAAACCATCTATTACTGTAGATGGTAAATAACCTCCTAGAAATTAAGAGATAATTTAGATAACTTACACTAAAAAAATTATTAGTAGTGGGTAGAGTTGCAACCCCAAAAAAAACGGTGTGTTTTTTTTAAAAAAAAACACGTTTTTTTTGCAAAAAAAACAGACTGGTTCTAAAAACATGTTTTTTATAGTTTTTTTTGCTTTTTTTTAGTATTCATTAAATTTTAGATAATAATAATACTTGAAACAGTTCCAGTGCCCTTAAACCTACAAAATACAAATGTTTTCTATTTAATAAAATGCATATTAACTTATATAATAGCTGTTACAAACTAATCACCAATATTATAAAAAACAGTATTAAATATTTAAAAAAGTAATTTTTTAAATAAATCTCAAAAAAACTATACTATTAACTACTAGTTGATTGTAAGTATAATACTACTGAATGAAGGAAATAAAAATGTTATTTTAGCAGTGTTATTTCATTCATAAAAACTAGCAAAAGGCAACCCGTAATACGGGTTTTGGTCGGTCTGTTACATAATTAATTTATAGTAGCTGTTTTCCACAATTTAATCTTGCAAAACCTTAACTAATACCCTTTTAGAAAATTGCCTTCAGCTTGAAAAAATTAATCCATCTGTAAAATTAACATAAAAATTATGAGGAGGTAAAATAATTTACCAACTACTACTTAACATTATTAAGTAATTTACAAATGGCACAGGTCATAACAGTGTAAGGCAGAACCATTTTCATCGACCTTCCTAAGTTTAACACAATACGTTTTTAGTTACTGACGCAAAATAATAACACTTGGTTATACTTTAAATTGACGAAAGTGTCAACTAAATCCTTAAAATAATTTTTATAACACGAACCATTAAGATTAAAATGAAGTTAATTTATATTATACAGGAGTTATCAATTTTTTGTTATCCCCTTGATTAATTGTTCTTTAGAAAAGAAAATTGGTAACTTAAAAATCTTAAATGCACACGTTTAAATAAATTTATAAAAAATAACAAAGTTTATTATACTACGCAACTGAGTACAAATACCTTTCAAACAAAAGAAAATTTAATTTACGATCAAACATAGGTATAACTAATTTTTTTAATACATTAATGCATCATAGAACAAACTAAAATAAAAATTATAAGAGATAAGTAGACATAAAAATTTGTAAACCAAGCTGACCCGACCCGGGTCTTGTTAAGTCTGTTCAACACAGACCATTTGTATATCATTTATTTGGCCTCTTTATTTTATTAAATTTTTAGTAAACGGTAATTTGCCACCATTTACTAAAAATTCCTTTTGTAACTCGAAATTTAATTTTTCTAAATATTTTGGCTCTAATAAAGAGGTTCCTTCCCTCTTTTTGCTTTAATGGTGGCCTGGTGAATAAAATAAAATATTAAAATGTAAAACAATGATCTACTTATATAAAAATGTTTTCTTTCTTTCCTCAAAAGTGTTGCTAATACAGACTAAGCTAACTAATTAGTTAAACACATAAATAAAACTTAAGTAACTCGATATTAATGCGCAAAACTACAATATTCTCCGTATTTTTAAAGGTTTTTAGTTACGACCGCCCATTCAACCCATACGACCCCCCAATCAATTCTCTCTCTAGAATTCTCAATACTAATTCTTATTTAAGTCTCATCTAAGAGAGAGAGGAAGTGTTTTAAAAACACCATGTTAGAAAAAGTAAAAAAGTCATGCAATAAATAACAGTAACTGGTTTTATTATGCTACCAATAAACAAAATTATTTTTACCTTAACTAAAAGTTAATTTCCAGCATTTCTTAATTTATTTCCAGCTTCTCTCTAACTGTTGACAAATGATTAATATTGTAAATTTCACATCATATTAAATTTACAAAATTAAAACCATGTTTTAACAGTAAGCAATAATCAAGTGATGTAATAAGCAATAATCAAGTGATGACAAAGACAACTAAAAAAAAAATGAACAATTATATTAAGATTACAAAAGTAAAAAAAAAAAAAAAAAAAAAAATCATTTAAAACTGAAATTTTTATTATTTGTTACTATAAATAGTAAAATTCATACTTTGCTTTATTTTGAAGTGTCTAATGTAAAGTCAAATAATAGACATCAACAGCGCTTGACACTGAATTCTGCCAAGTAAGTTTTTGGTTTATCAAACAATATATTTTTTATATTTCAACGACAATTAATTTTATCATGCCTAGATCTATTTCTTTCATATGACAACAATTTCAAGTCACCTATAACCATTTACACTAATAACTTCTTCGAGCCTAATATTATAAATCTGTTATCATTAAATATATATTATCAGTGGTTATGCTACTGTTACAACTGAATAAATGAACGTTTTATATTTTTACAACTGAAAAATATAAAACAAAATTTATTAACATTATTTTAATTTAGCAAAGAATTTAGAACACAGTGCAAAGTTATTTGCATTGTGTTCTAAATTCTTTGCTAAATTAAGAAAGCCTTCAGGCACAATCTTAATGCACAAAAATAATAAATGCAGAATCTTGTATAAAAAATGAAGCAATGTCAGTCTAAAGTAATATATATGTATGTATATATATTCAAATTTTTTCTATTCTTAATTTTTTCTTTGAGATAATATTCATATAGATTCAGAGAAATATAAAATATTCCGATATATAGGCACATTTAAGTATATAAACTTACCTGTCACAAATTACAGTCAGTTTTTCATGTTAAATACATAAAATATATATCTAATATAAAATCTACTACCTTATAAACAAAAAATTAAACTTACTCAAATCAGTAACAGTTCGACTGTCTATATATTTTTATTATTAACCCTTCTATTTAAAAAATAAAAACAAATGATTTGAAGTAACTAAAAAGCACTTTAGCTCTTTCCAATTGCACTAAAAAATAAAATAAATCTTGCTTGATAAGTTGCCTAATTCTTAAGAGTCTGATAACAAATAAGTAAAAAACCAAGAACAAACAAACATTTATTTACTAAAACTACTCTATTTAAACAAATTAAAGTATACAGAGAACAACATTGATACTCCTTGAAAGCTGAAAAACTTTTTATCTCAAATTTGCTTGTAGACCTTGCTTATGAAACCACTTGAATAAGAAAAGCATCAAAAAAGCCTAGAAGCTGGTATATGCTACATTGAATTTTAAATGTTGATTGGTGTAGATATTTTTAAAAAATTCAAAATGATTTGTTCTTCTATAGCAAATAAATACACCATAAATCTGAAGTTAAAAATGTAATAAATAAGTAAATACAAAGAAAAACATCATATGTGAATTAAAAATCAATGTACCTGATAGAGATAAGCTGCGGTGATACCTGAGTAGTATCACCGCATACACGTATTTATCAAAAATTTTTTTACTTTGATCATAATATAAATGCAAACATAAATGCAAACTTTTAACAACTATAAAAGAACATTTATTAGCATCAATTATTTTTAATGTAACAAAGAATGCAGACTACAATGCACGACATTGTTAATAAAAATGAAGTTATGTCAGTCAGTATATATTTATCTAAAGTAGTGAAAAAGAATAAACCATTTAATAACAAAATTAAAAATTTTTAATGAATATATATTTAGATACCTTAAAATGAAGCATAACACAACACTCTTTAGACAAATTCCAGAGCAAATTTTTAAAATTTTTCTATTCCTTATTATTTTATTCCTTATATCGATAAAATACATATTAAATGTCACATTCAACTAATGTAATTAATACCTTATTTAGATCTCTCTTGATTAACTAAAGAATTTAAATTTTAAATAAACTCTAACTAAATTTTAACAAACAAACAACCAAAATAAATCTTCATATTAATAGTACGTTATTAAGTTGAGTAATAGATCAAACAATTTAATCTACTCTAATAATCTACTACCTTATTAATAAACTTGAATTTTTTTTCTACGACTCAGTGTAACTATAATATAGATATTTTTAAAGTAAAAAAGAATTTAATATTATAATATATATGATTTACAAAACCTGAAATTTTAAATCTACCTTGAAGAAAACAGATATATAATAAAAAGTATTTTTATTTCTTTTTAAAAATTTTAAAATGCTTTATAACTTACTTGTTTCATATTATTACCAACGTCTAAATAGAAAAACAAAGATATATGAGTTATATATAGGATTTTAAAATATATATGATTTTAAAAAACTGAAACTTTAAATCTACCTCAAAGAAAACAGAGATATATTGTAAAGTATTTTTATTTCTTTTAAAAAATTTAAAAATGCTTTTTAACTTACTTGCTTCAATATTGTCATCATCTAAATAGAAAAACAAACAAACATTTAAGTCGACTTATTCTTAAATCTAGTTTAATTTCTTCAATAATAAAAAAAATTTAATCTTTGAGGATTAAATTCATTTACAAAAATCCGTTTAAACCATTTTAACATTGTTAAGTTAATTTAAAGTTTTAAAAAACTGAAACTTTAATTCTACCTCAAAGAAAACAGATATATATTGAAAAGTATTTTTATTTCTTTTTAAAAATTTAAAAAGACTTCTAAACTTACTCCCTTCAATATAACTATATAATATATATAGTATATATGATAAATAAACCTCCACATTTTCCTCGGTTTAACAACTCGATAATGATTTATAACATCTCTGTAAACATAAATTTTCTAATAACTTAAATAAATTACAGATAGACAAACATAAACTAACACAATTAAATCCTAAACCAAAATTCATTCATGCAAGACAAATAATTTTATATCGCAGTGGCTACAGTACCGGCTTTATCTTTAACTCTTGGTGCTAGAGTACCGGCTGGTCTGGGCTCTAGCTAATTGCGGTTACGTAACTATTAGTTGATTTACTTAAGGTCCGCGTCTGGTAATTAATATTAAAAAAATCAAATGCATTTGTTTTAAAAATGGAAGTCGGTAAAGTATTTAATAGTTTCAATGAACTTAAGCAGGCAATTGAAGAGTATGAAAAATCAAGTTTTATATCATTATATGTTCGCGATAGTCGAACCATTGAGTTAGCGATCAAAAAAGGTTTGAAGCGCTCTATTAATAAGGAATTAAAATATTATTATTTAACATATTGTTGTTATCATGGTGGGCGCCAGTTTAAGTCAAGATCAAAAGGTATTCGTCCAAATCAAAGGTAGGATGAATAAATACATACTTATTTTAAATTTATTTAAGAAAATAGAAAGTACTTTAACTTTAAATAAAGATTTTATAATTAATTATCGATAGCACATATAACATCAAATGCCCGTTTACTATTTGCATTGGAGTCACTGAAGATGGAGAGCAGTTCTGTGTTGTTAAAGTTATTAATGAGCACAATCATCCAATTGATAAAGTAATAAGTATAAATTTGTTTATTTATATTAATCATATAAATTTTTGAAACAAATGTCAGTGTGAATGTCAAATAATAAGTTAGACAATGACATATAAGCAAACATAGTTTGCTTTGATGAAATAGATAAATTGTTGCAAGATATTTCATATTTAAACATTTTGATTTAAATATAAAAAGGTTCTAATATCATATTCAACTTTTCCATATTTAAAACATTATTTAAATTCCTAGAGTCTCTAGTCTCTAATAAGGCTGATAATGCCGTCTAATTTAATAACTGATTTAATAATTATTTATCAAAAAACTTATATAAATATTGCAAAACAATTTGACTGCCATAGTCTATATACTATTTTTTAGCTAACAAACCGCTAAAGAAAATATTCTGTGAGTCTAAATAGATTCAAAGAATATTTTCTTTAGCATCTGTGTATCTATAATAAACAATCTTTAGCATATTGTATCTATAATAAACAAATAGTAAAATGTTTTTCATTTAATATACTAGGTTGGTTGAAAAGTTCGCGGAGCGGAAATGAAAAAACAATTTTATGATTCAAAAAATGACTTTATTCTTCAGTATATTCTCCCTTAAGAGCAATACACTTTTTCCAACGATTCTCCAATTCATGTATCCCATCTCTGAAGTGCGATTCCGGAAGGCCTTTAAAATACCCATTTACGGCTGCAATGACTTCTTCATGTGATGAGAAACGCTTTCCACGTAGAAATTTTTTGAGATGTGGAAAGAGGTGGAAGTCGGACGGAGCCAGATCTGGTGAATAGGGTGGATGTTCCAAGCGTTCGTACTTTAATTCGACCAATTTCGCCTTTGCAACATCGCTGATATGAGCAGGTGCGTTGTCCTGGTGATAAATGATTTTTTTATGCAGCAAACCAGGTCTTTTCTTACGAATTTTTTTATCCAACTGGTCCAAAAGATTTTTATAATATTCACCTGTTATCGTTTTACCGGTTTGAAGGTAATCTATTAATAAAATTCCTTTCGCATCCCAAAAAACTGATGCCATAACCTTCTTTGACGATTTTGACGCCTTCACTTGCTTCGGAGCTGAACAACCGGGTTCTGTCCACTCTGCAGTTTGTTGTCGCAGCTTCGGATCATAGTGGTAAACCCAAGTCTCATCCATGGTTACGAATCGACGCACAAAATCTGTTTTATTCTTTTGAAAACGGGCCAAATGTTCTTGAGAAAGTTTTACTCGAGTGCGTTTCTGATCCAGAGTTAGCGAATGCGGCACCCATCTTGCCAACAGCTTTCTCAGACGTAATTCATCGTGCAAGATGTGTAATACCCGTTCATCTGAGATGCCCACAGCCTCAGCAATTTCACGTTTGGTCAATCGTCTATCATCCATAACCATGTCATGCACAGCATTAATCGTTTCTTCAGTAGTAGCACTTTTTGGACGTCCAGAGCGAGGGTCATCTTCAAGGCTTGAACGCCCACGTTGAAACTCCGCAGCCCATTTGCATACTATTGTTTTTGAAGGAGCATCATCACCCAACACATTTACCATTTCATTATGAATTTCCATGGGCTTTAAACCTTTTTTCACAAAGAATTTTATTACAGCACGATGTTCAATATTTTCCATTTTAAAAAATACTATGACACGTCTAATTTCAATAGCTTGTAAACAAAGACTGAAATGACATATCGACTTGAAATTTTTTATGCGTTCATACGAAGAATGAATACGTTTAATACAGTTATAAATTTGTTTCTACTACTGCAACATAGGTGCCGCTCCGCGAACTTTTCAACCAACCTAGTATAGTATCCTTACTTTTAAGTGAATTCAAACTGAAGTTACTTATCAGTATAACACTATGTATATATGTATATATAGTAAATTATATAGTGTACTTTATAAATTACATAAACGAAGTAGCATTTACGGTAATATTTTTCGGACGCGAAGAGAGTATTTAGCTAGAGCCCAGACTAGCCGGTACTCTAGCACCAAGAGCCAGCAGCCGGTACCGTAGCCACTGCGATTTTATATTTATTGAAGAGCGAGAAACATATTTTTTTTCAAAGAGCTAAAGTATTAACAATATTAAAGACAAATTTTATTTATAACAAAATTTTCAATAAAAATTAAATTAAGATAAAATGTTGTCATGGCTTTTATCCCAATAACCAAAACTAAGTGAAAGCATGAAACTACCTATAAATATATTTTAACGCTAGACACAAATTAAGAATTAAAGTAATCTATAACACGAAGCTTTAAATTTAAAATTACAATTTAAAAAAGATTACAATAAATTAATTACTTTTAAATTTAAAAAAAAATTTAGATTACCTATAATTTTAAGCTACTAAACATTATCTACTTAATGTCAACTTAGATATTTTGAACTCGTACCATGAAAGGTTGAAGGGAAATCTGTAAGTAAGCACGCGGTAAAGAAAAGTCTAGAAACTACTTAAAAAGTGTATTTTACAGATACAGAACCGTACCGTAACTATAAAACAATACGCGTAACTATGCGCATTAATATTCATAGGCTATTAATTATAGGCGATGAATGAAATAACACTGCATTGCAAAATACAAAAATGAACCAACTGTTAAATAAAATTTACTGTAATGTTTTAATTATTTTTGTATATTACTTTTTTAAATTTTTAATATTTAATTTCTTTATTTTATTTTAAATTGCAATTAGATAGCTAAAATTTTATTTATTCAAACAATATTCAAGTAAATAAAAATAACACAATAATTAACTTTGTCTAATGAAAAAACATTTATATTAAACAATTTGTAATCTATTAATTAATTAATTTTTAATTAAAAAAAAAAAAAAAGAAATCTAAAAAAAAATATGCCAGGCAATAGAAGACCTTAATGAACAAGAAAGCCAGAATACAGAATCTGTTATTAATTAAAAATAAATCTTTTAAATGATGTACTATATATTTACCATATATCATGTTATTAATATATATTATATTACATTTATAATAAAAATAAAAATTAAATAGAAGTAAATAATTTTTTTTTTAATCTAAAAAACAAAAAAAACCATAAAAAACACAAAAAACACAAAAAAAAACATGTTTTTTTTGCAAAAAAAACACAATTAAAAAAAATAGGTTTTTTTTGCAACTCTAGTAGTGGAAGATCGGGGTTGGTTGTCACACTTTTTACATTTTAGACTTCTCAGCTTTTATTTTTTATCAAATCAATGTCAAACTTTGCCCAAAAGTAATTTAACTATTTCCGGTAACTATTACAATATTTTTATGACATTAAGTGAAATATTTTTTGCTGTAAACTCATTTTTTAAAGACCTCTTCCGTGTGACAGCCAACTTCACCAACGGGGTTGGTTGTCACATAGAATGCGGCTGGTTGTCGCATTTCTTGGTACGTTTTGATTATATTAAAAATAGTACCAATTAATTTTCTGAATAATCTGAAAAAAAAAGGCTATATACTGAAAAAAAGAAAATTCTATGTACCGAAAAATGTTTTTTTTTTTTCTTAATATAACACTATAAACACATTAAGACAATTGTTACAATCATTCCATATATTTTGTGGTAAGCATCCCCCTCTATGTAAGTTGCAAAACACCTGTAAATTTACCTAAAAACGTGTGAAACTCATGAACATTTTTGGTGGATTAAGCTACTCAAATAAATCAAAAACGTTTAAAATATACATTTAAAACACAATAAAATTTTTCATATCAAAAACGTATGAAAACAAATGACTTTTTTTCTACATGCTAAAAAAAGCTGAAATTTACCGTGAAAATGTATTTTTATATAATATTTCCATTGTATGATTTGAAAGTTCCCAACCTTATCTACATTTCCTGTAATAAACTCTGTGACATCCAACTCCGTGTGACAACCAACCTCGCTCTTCCCTATATTTTATATTTATTTTTATTTTTAACTTTGGTCCATTTTGCAATCCACAAACCAAGTTCAGAATTAAAGCAATCTTCTGAAAAATTTCTTTTTAAACACTTTGAAGTAGTTTACTTGCATGTGAAGTTAAGTTGAATAAATCTGATAGTATAATTTATGATATTATATATTGACATGTAGTTAATGAATTTAAAATAGAATAACCTTTACTGATAAATCATTATTCTCCCATTCGGTTTTAAAGATCACAGATTTAATAATATAGTTTAGAGAATTCTTAAGTAATAAAACACTATTGTGTCTTTCAATCCATCTTGTTTCGCATTACTCATTAAATGTTTTTCTTTACCAAATACTTTTTTCAGAACATGATTTCATTTCGCTGACATGTTAAAAAAACTTAACAGTCTCTTTATTATTACCAACAGAGTAATCGACATGACAATAGATGATTTAGATATCAATAAATTTAAACAATGATTGGTACATGGACTATAAATTGCATTTGGAGTTGCATTTGATTGAATATCTTTAACAGCAACATGAACCGTGGATGTCATAACCGAGAAACCATTAGTTGCGATTCCAACACTGTGTTTTAAGTTTAAATTTAAGTTTTTCAGAATATTAATGACTATTTTTTCAAGAACATCACCAGTGATTTTTGATTAAGAAAATGGTACCTTCATAATTTTCTATACATTCTTCACTATAATTAATATGTTTTTCTTCGTTTGAATTTTACTTATTATAAAAGTATGTGTAAGTTTATTTAATGAAACGAAATCTTCCTTTAATTTTTTCATCAAAAAATATATCTTAAAATTAGTGTCATTTGAGATGAATGTTATACATCTGTATTTTCATCTAATATAATACTGCTATACATCTTTAGTTATATCTGAATGTTATACATCTGTAGTTTCATCTAAAATAATACTAAACTTATTACATTTAATATCTGTCAATATTCTATAAACATTTTCTTCTTTGCAGCATTCTATTATTTCTTCTTGAAAAGAATTACTTATAAAGGTAGCTTGAGCATGAGTTTTGTTAAGATGATTTTCTAATATCTCGTCACCACCTTTTATTCAAATGCTATTTTGAATAAAAGCCGGTGATGCGATCATGGTTTAAAAAGCTTGCGGTGCAATCATGGTTTAAAAATACTACGCCTCAAGGCGATGAGGTGTTGGATTTTTGCACTAAGACATAAGCCTCATTCAAATAAATAAAACACAGAAATTTCTACATCGTCTAGAAACAAGTATTTGAAGTGTTGAAAAGGCCAGGTTTAACTCAGAGCTTGAAAATTCAATAAGAAATGAGGCATTTAAGTGGTATGAAATTTTACGCTGAGTCTTTGAAGTCACTCTTCATTTAGCTTGGAGAAATCTTTTTCGACGTGTGTTAGCAGTTTATGCTTATTAAATAATTTTAATCTTGTTGGAATATTATTCTTGATGTAATCTTTATTTTAATATTATGTTCATATTTGTGTAGTTTCATCGAGCATGCTGGACCAGTATGATAATGGTAATTTTTTAGCCACCCTTGAGCTGTTGGGGAAACACAAAAAGACACTTCACACAGTTCCATTCCATTATTTTTGGTGTCGGCAAACTTCTTGGAATTTCAATTCCAAGAAGTTCATCATTTCCATTACAAGAAGTTTGCCGACACCAAAAACAAGGAACAAGACTGCAAAAGCACTATTTGAGCTGAAGAACTCAAAATGAGTTCATTTTGGCATGTGGTGAAACTGTTTTTGCTGCTATTATTGAAGAAGTCCACGCTGCCATTTGTTTTTAATTGTCGTTGATGGATCTCCGGACGTGTCTCATACGGTACAAATCATGTTCGTTTTTCGATTTGTTCGCCTTTGATCTGACATCTAATGAATAGTAAAAGTGTGTTTTTTTAAAATAGTAAATCTGGAGAAAAAAAGGTTCTAATATTGCGATTATAGACGCTTTGGATTGAATCGATTGAAAGAGTCGGTTAAAAGAACTGTAGGGGCCAGGGCTGTGATAACGGGGTTGATATGTCTGATGTATACCTGCACTCAGGCCATCTTTCTCGAGAATAATTCTTAATCTTTTTTCATGCCTTGTAGTACGCATAACCTCAATTTAGCTGCATAATCTTCAAATGTATTCAAGAACTATTTTGGCAACATTTAGTTACTGTATAACCTTTTTAGTAGTATTATCATGCGCTGGAAAATTTTAACTAAGGAAACTGGGTAGTTCCTTAACCAAACGTCCTAAAGATGATGGAGTGTGCGCATCGAAGCTGTTCGACCATTGTTAAAATGACCAAAAAAAATACTGAAGCATATCAAAAAAAACTTCTTTGGATGACAAGACAAAGTTTTTAAAGACTCTAACCAATGATCTTGACCAACTACGTTCTTCATGGTGCCAAATCTTCCAAGAAGCAAAACTGCTTGTATCTGGGTTAGTTTCGTTTGAGTTTCAAAATGATTTTGTTACGAAAAAGGCAAGGAAAAGGAAAACAATTCATGGCGAGTCAATGAACACAGCCCATTTCGACAAAGACGAATCAAAGTGTTTTGAGGTGAACGAAATTAATGCTGCTCCAGAAGATAAGATACAAAATGGATACAGCTGAAAAAACAACAGATTTTTCTTCTTCTAGTGATGAAATCTTAGTCAAAAAGAAAAGTGCAACGTCTTGGCAAATCTCTACGTAGTTGGTGTAAAAGAAGAGGAGTTGATTGAAAAAAATCCAGCATCTAGATGTTTTGAAGTGATCAAATACTTTTGAATAAATAGAATCTCTTTCTTCTATCAAGTTGCTCAACGGATTCTACCAGAAAGGTCTTCAGTTAATATTTCATTTTGCATTTTACTCCGCAATTTTAATAGAATCTCGGTTTCAGTGGCTGAAAAAGAGCGCTCTTTCAGTAAGTTTGCTCTCATCAAATCCAAATTGCGATCAAAAATGACTGAAGAATGCCTTTTTAACCTTACGGTGATTTCTATTGAAAACAACCTTGATAAAACTTTATCGTACAAAAATTTCATCTCTAGTTTTGCAAAGAAAAAGTGAAATCAGTGTGATCTGCCTAATCTTCATAACAAGCATTTTAATAATGAAATATATATTTCTATTCATTTTAAATTTGTATTTGTGTTGTATTTGTATTAACATTGTATTTGTATTTTTGTTTATCATAGTTCAAATATAAAGTGTTCATGTGCAGCGATAGTTAATACAAAAGTAATTAATGTTTTCATTAAATTGCAATGTGATAGTAGACATACTGACGATAAACAGCGAAGTTAATGCTTAATTCAATATACCCAGAATGTTTGGTACACCAAACAAAAATTTACCTCTGGCACTACCAAATCTCCGTGCGGGCCTTATATATATATATATATATATATATATATATATATATATATATATATATATATATATATATATATATATATATATATATATATATATATATATATATATATATATATATATATATATATATATATATATATATATATATATATATATATATATATATATATATATATATATATATATATACATATATATATATATATATATATATATATATATATATATATATATATATATATATACATATACATATACATATATATACATATATATATATACATATATATGTATATTTATGTATATATATACATATATATGTATATATATGTATATGTATATATGTATATATATATACATATATATGTATATATATATACATATATATGTATATATATGTATATATATACATATACATGTATATATATATATATATATACATATACATATATATACATATATATATATATACATATATATGTATATATATATATACATATATATATATATATATATATATATATATATATATATATATATATATATATATATATATATATATATTATATATATATATATTTATATATTTACCTTATATATATATATATATATATATATATATATATATATATATATATATATATATATATATATATATATATATATAAACTTTTTATATGTATAATTTTTTTTTAAGAAACTGGTTGGACAGTTCTTGGTTAATACAAGGATACACGTAAAATAACACCAGCTCGTCGTCTGCTCCTATGTTGAGGAAAAAATAAGAAACAAAAGACCACCTAACACTGTTAAATTCTTGTAAATTTAAATGCCTACAAAATATCGGTAATAAAAAATTAACACGTAAATTTGTTGATTTTTGGTCTATGGACAACCTGCAAAGACTGAACTGAACAACTTTAAAAGAAACTTCATTAAACAATAAAAAAAAAACATTTTCCCATGGCCTTACGTCAGTTTTTGATATTTCAATACCCAAAAAATAAAGTAGTTTAACAAAAGTTTGCAACCAGAGAATTTAAGTATACAAGAGGTTAACAATACCCATAAACGAATTGATTGAGAATTCTCTCCTGTTAAAATATTTTGTTCACGAGGCGATTAGTGTAAATAGTAGTTTAATGTAAATAGTATAGTTGTATTATAAACGTCTCTAAGTGTCACCTTGGAGATTTTTTTTTTTTTTTTTTTTTTTTCTTGAATATTCAATATAGTTATACAATAAGATAGTTGAGATAAAAATCGTTATACAATAAAAGAAAATATATACAAAAAAGAAAGAACGCGGAGACTCGCAGAAGACCTTCAGGTCTTATCATCGAGAACCGCTCGTGAATACTAAGTACATTAAATGAACATGAAGAATAAAATCTAAACAATGTCGTATTAAAAATTAGCGAGAACGTAAATTTCGTAATAATATATAAATAAAATTGGAATAAAGAAATTGTTGATACTCTTATATATAAATACAAAAATATTTTAAAAAGTACTGTTTTAAAACACATAAGTTATGGATCAGATATAATATTTTTATATTACCTTATGTAATAAACTTCATATTCATTTTTAAAAGAATTTAAAAATATAAAAAAATGTCTTCAAAAGACAAAACAATTTCTTTTAGTTTTTTCTTGAATTAAAGATAATTCCATTCATAGGAAAAATCAAAATTTTTTAAAACTATTTTGTTCCATAGAAAAGCTCCTCGATATGAAATACATGACTTTCCAAAATTAGTTAAAGATAAAGGTTGCTGAATTTGATTATCATTTCTTAAGTTATATTTATTTTTATCTTTTAAGGTATATAGATTATGAAAAGAAACTGGAGATTCGTTGGTTTTACACTTGAACATAAAACAAAGTATATTAAAAATATTTAGCTGATAAATATTAAGAATTTTCATTTGAAATAATAATGGTTTGGCATGAGCAAATTGATCTTTATAATTGATAAGCCGAGCAACATGCTTCTGCTGACGATAAAGAGGTAGCAGTTTAGATTTATTGGTATTACCCCAAGCAATATTTGCATAATTTATATGGCAATGGATTAAAGAGAAATATAATTGTGTTAAACTGTGTTTATTTAAAGCATTTCTAGCCTTGTACATTACTCCTATATTTCGAGCAACTTTGTTGCACAATAAATCAATGTGATACTTCCAACTAAGGTTTTCATCAATATTTATTCCTAAAAAGTTAGTAGTTTGTTCTCTTTTTATTTGAACTTTGTCAATAAAAAGTAAGGGCATCACAGGAGGTAGTAGCTTTTTTTTTGAAGTTTGATGAAAAAGTATCCATTTAGTTTTTTCAACATTTAGTGACAGCTTATTCACTTTAAACCAGTCAGAAACTTTTGTTAATTCAATATTCATATTTTGGAATAATGTTGTTATGTTGTTATGAGCTAAAAAAAGATTTGTATTGTCGGCAAACATGACCGTCATTAAATTTGAGGCTTTAGGGAGATCATTAATGTAAATTAAAAAGAGAAGAGGTCCTAGTATAGAACCTTGAGGGACCCCACATGTTATATCTAATAAATTGGAAGAGACAGTTGTATTGCTGTAAACAAACTGTTTACGGTTGCTTAAATAACTTTTAAGAATCATTAAAATATTCCCTTTAATTCCATAATACTCTATTTTTTTAAATAGGATTTTGTGGTCGATGGTATCAAAGGCTTTCGATAAATCTATGAAAACACCTAACGTATATTGAGATTTTTCAAAAGATTCAGCAATATTGCGGGTAGTTTGGAGTATAGCGTGTTCGGTTGAATTACTTTTTTTAAATCCGTATTGATATTGATACAGTATATTATTTGAAGATAAATGATTGAAAATTATATTATATAAAATTCTTTCTAAAATTTTAGAAAAAACAGGCAAAATCGAAATAGGGCGATAATTTGAAACATTGGTTGAAATCCCCCCTTTAAATATTGGTGAAACTCTGGCTATTTTTAAATTGTCGGGGAAAATATCCTGTTTTATTGAACATTTGAAAATTTGAAATAGAATATCTTTAATGACTCCATACGAGTCGATAATAACATTGCAATAAATATCATCATAACCAACTGATTTATTAGATTTAAGCTTTTTAAAAGAAAGTTCAAATTCCTCAAAGGATAACTCAAAGGAGTTTAAGAACGAAGTTATTGGAAAAGCATAATTATTCAATTTGTTTTTCAAGATAGGAATTTGTTGGGCCAGATTAGGACCAACTGATACAAAATATTCATTTAATTTGTTAGCTATTGCAATTTGATCAAATGATGTTTCTTCATTAATCTTAATAGTTTTAGGCAATGAGCTCGTTTTTAATTTCTGCATGCCAGTGAGTTCTCTTAGAATTTCCCACGTACGTTTCGAATTAAGATTATTTCTATCAAGCAAATTAGAATAGTAATTTTTTTTTTCTTTTTTTTTTTCTGTCTTTCAAATTCTTTAGCGTATTTTTTATAGAGAACTTTATTTTGTTCAGTTTTTGTCTTTAAATATTTTACGTATAATTTTTGTTTAATTTTAGAGGATTTTTTTAATTCTTTTGTGATCCAAGGTGACATTAAACTTTTAGCTTTTTTATTTACTATTTGTTTTAGAAAATTAGCATCGTATATTTCATAAAACGTTTTAAAAAACGTATTATAAACTAAATTAGCGTCAGCACAGGTATCTATTTGTTTCCAATGAAGATAAGATAATTGTTCTTTAAATGTTTTTAAATTATCATTAGAAAAAAAACGTTTTTTAAAAGTTTGCTGAGATATTATATCTGCGTCGATATTGATAGAGAAAAAAATTTTGTTATAATATTGTCAATTAAGGTTTTTGATGTAGGAGTTGTTCTTGTTGGTTTGTTAATTATGGGAAAAGCACCGAGTTCAAATAACTCGTTGTAAAATTTTTTAACGCCATAATTAGTGTGGTATTAGTAACAATCTAAATTACGTCACCTATTAAGTAGTATAATTTATTTTCACAAATGCTTTTTTTTAAAATGTCATTTAATAATAAATTAAAATTTTCTATACTGCCCGAAGGTGGGCGATAACAAAAACTAATATAATTTAATTTTTTGTTTTTTTTTTTGTTTGGATTTCAACTGTTAAGACCTCATTATCGTTATCAGAATTGCTCATGTCAGGCCTGATAATATACTGCAAATATTCTCTAATATAAACTATTAAACCTCCGCCTCGCTTTCCATTTTTTCTATCCAAAGAAATTATATTGAAACCTGGTAAAAAAATGCTTGAATTCAAATTAGAGTTATTAGAGTTACACCAGGTTTCAGATATGCAAATTAAACTAAAAATATTAAGAGATTCTTTCATGCTTAAATAGAAATTTTCAAAATTCTTTGATATGCTTCTTATATTAATATGAAAAGTGTTAAAATATCTACAGTTAAGAAACTCTTTTATTTCGTTGGCATAGTAATAGGAGCAGTTGCTTTGTAAAGCAAGTGCTTCACAAAAGTAATTTAAGTCCGGATCTGATTGGTTATTAAATAAAAACTCATCAGTTCGAAAACAATTATAACTTAATTCAAAGTCGTTTAAATTATTGGAATCCATTTTACCATTTTAAAAAACCATAAAATAAAAGAATTTCCTTTAATCGCGCGTTATTAACTTATTATATACAACCTTTGCATATTTACCTTTTAATCGTAAATCTTTTGCAGCCGTAAACAATTTCTTTCGCAATTCGGTTGTCCTTTCGCTGAAATCTTTGTTCACATATATTCTTTGATTCCAAAGTTTCGTCTTTATATATTTACCAAGCACTGTTGATTTGTCCTTAAAATTTAAAAATTTGACCACGATAGTTCTGCATTTTTTAATTGTTTTTTGCAATTTTTAATTATTATCTTTATCATTTTTTCCAACTCTATGAGCTCGTTCAATAATGAATTCACCTTGAAGATCAAGTTTTTTTTTTATTAATTCACGAACTTTACTTTCACAATCGTCCCAACTTTCATCAACTGATTCTTCTATACCGGATATCCTTAAACTGTTTCTCCTACTTCGGTCTTTAATCTCAGCCAATTTGTCTCTCAAATTAATGGTTAAACTCTTTTCTAGGTTTCTATCTGGTTTTGCGCAATCAGCCTTCAATCCTTCTTGTTCAATTATTATTTTGTCGTATTTTTCGCTAATAAATTCGACAGCTTTTTTCAATTCGCTTACTTCAGTTTTAAGAATTTTATTGTCTTCATTCAACTTATCAATCTGTTTTTCCAATCTTTCAAATTTTTCATTAAATATTTTCATCATTGTGTTCTCATGAATGTCTAATATTTCTTTTAATTGTGAAGCCGAAAAATTTTTCGCCATTTTTGATTTGTAATTAAAAACACGTCCGTTCGCGGTGAAACGTAAATATTTTGTTCACGAGGCGATTAGTGTAAATAGTAGTTTAATGTAAACAATATAGTTGTATTATAAATGTCTCTAAGTGTCACCTTAGAGATTTTCTTAGCTAATGAGGCAGTTAGCGAATTTTGTATATAGATCCTTATAAAGTTAAAAAACACCTATAATATCTCTCTTGGGGAAATATTGTATGGTATAAATAATAGTTTATAAATTTATAAAAAGTAGCATTTTTTGAGTTAGCTATTAACGTTCTAATCGATATATATTATGCTGAAATAAGTCACGTATTACTATTGAGTTTAAGACGCCTTACAAGCTTTTACACGAACATATTTAGTCCCCTTGGTTTAATCTTAGCAATTCCTACTCTTTAAAAAATAATTTTTTTGCTGTCTACCAAATGAAGAATGTGGATTTCAAATA